GCGCTGCTGATGATTGTTTTCAATACAGACTAGTCCACATCCATGTCAGAAAAAAACAAAAAAGTATAATATGCCCGCCACACTTTTTCAGAGCCTGAAAGAGTTCGATAAATGTCTCAGAGATATTTCATTATTTAAACAGACAGAAAAAGCAGCAAATCCTCAGACTTGAAAAACTGGAACATTTTGCTTGAAAATGACTCGGATGATCAATGACAATCGGAAAAGTTGCAGGTTTATTGATGACAAATCGTTCCAACTCAATCAACTGATCACTTTAGCTTTATAATTTAGATATTTAAAGATATCATCACATACATTTGTGTATGTTCAGCTGATCTGCTGCTCACTGACTAAAACACTCTCTCAGGTATGCTAACAGTGCTACTATTATCTCATCTTTTCTTATTGTTTGAGCTGGAGAAGTTGTGATGCCGTTCTCACACAGCTAATCAAATTTCCATTTTAACCGTTTGAAATTCTTTGTAATTTCAGAGAGACGTAGACAAACGCAACAGACATTTACTGTTGAGCTTCTCAGCTAAAACAACAACTGTTCTCAAGCTAAGGTTAGCTTCATGACTTGGTTGAAAAATACTGTGTTCGGTTGACTTTTGAACATTTCTAATGGCTCGTTTTTAAACTAAGAAAGACACTCAAAGTCAAGCTTTTCTTATTTTATAGAAACAAATCTATGACGTAAAAACACAGAAAACCGTTGATCAATTCCAGTTTATTAGTGCCATTTGTTTAAAGTGAAAACTATACCTCTCATCACTGAATGCTATACAAAAAACATAATCTGGACACGTCCTCTATTTCTCATCAGCACCAGCCTCCAAAATTCATTTTACTGTGTCTTAAGCTACAAGCTGAATTTGCATCTTAACTTTTACTTGTCATCTTTAATCATCATCTTTAAACTATTGCCCTTTAACCGCCGTCTTTTATTTTGTGTATAATTTTCAGTTTGCAGGTTTTCGGGCTGTCAGCGTGACTAAAAGTCCTGTAAATATTTGCAAGCCCCCTTGAGACACGAGATGTTTTTCCAGCGGAGACCACATGCTGTTTACGGGGGTTATCTGCCCTTTTTTCCCCCTGCAGGTCAAAGCTACAAGGTGAGCTGTTCCATAATAAGAGCCTCTGCTAGAATGTCAAGAATTCAGCTTGAACCTGTTGAACTGCATGTGGTCCCTCCTCTCTTTATGTTGTTTTCCTACCAAGTCAGTTGACCGCAACACAAGCCTCCCACACTGATACGTGTATTGGGTAACAGCACTTTGTGAAAATGTGAGAAAAACAAAACTGTAAATGCAATGATATACAGGACGTGTCCACAGGCGCCCTGCAGATAAAAGAATCTGCTTTATCTGAGTTTATGTCTCGTCAGTTTTGTGAACATCTTTCCGAAGAATTCATCAGAAGTATTTTTTTTTTGCTTCATCTTAGAGAACAAGAGTTGATACAAGGCAATGCTAAGATCCTCTTTGAAATACTTTTCTTTTTTTTTTCTTTGTTCAGTTCCAAAGAAGTCGAAGGCAAAACTGCTTTCTCAAGTAGGTGTATTACACATATTTCAAAAGCTGAACTGTTCACCAGATGTATGGTGTAACTCACTTCCTGTTGCATAAATCAAACGGACATTGGGATTTTGTGAAAATGTTCTTGTATTAAATGACTGTAAATCTATCTGTCCAGTAGCAGAAATAAAAAATCACCCCATGTAAAGCTTTTCCATTCTTTTAAATGCCTCCCAAAACTCAGCCACAGAGAAGAACAAAGCGGCTACCGCAGAGTTAGCAGAGAAATGAAGAAGAGCCTACATTATCTCAATATTAAAAATGTTCACTTGTGGATACACTGCAGGAGTGTAATTTTAGTTATATGAAATATTTAACTGACATGACCAGTTAATTAAATTTGCACTTTCACAGATTCAGCGGTTGTTTTCAAAGAGACCTCCTGTTACGACCCACAGGTGCCAGTGGCTTACAGAGCCAACTCACTACTAATCTAATTTACCAATCAATCATTTGTGAGTGTGCCTGAAGGCCGATTGACCTACTCCATTGAATACAACTATCCGCACACGGTTTGTTTGCTGTTGGTGCCAGCGATCCATTTTTATTGTGCTGGGAAGTTCATAAAGCCTGAATGACACAGATTCTCATGTAGTTTAAGCAGCTTTCACGGTGTGATGTTGCAGGTGCAGCAGATGTACTACACATGCAGTACATGTGGACAATGTGATGCAGGCCAGTGTTAATGTCTGTCCGCTCAGTGATGTCGCTAAGCTGCTATCATATGCACTCTGCTGTTTGCCTCCAACCAGGAGGCCTCTCAGGATCAGATAAGTATCAGTGTATTGTGCTCAGTAAATGGCACAAGCCAGACTCACATGGCAGTTTAATTCTCATCTAACTTTCCTCAAGAAAGAAAACAAGTGTATTTCCCATAATTTCATACTATTCTTTTAACCTTCACCAACTGATTATGAAACCGAACTGTCATTAGAATTTACACAGATCTGTCATTGCTGTTATCACCAACAAAACCTCATTACAAGTCCTATAATTCAGCCAAAGGCAGAAAGCGTGTTTTCTATGGTGCAATATTTATGTAGAAAGTTCCACATTAACAAAGTCTTTTTTAGAGCAGCTACTGTCCTGTGACTGTACAGGCACTGGCCTCTGTCTCTATCAGAAACCGAAGGTGGCCAAACAGTGAGGGTCAGGGGGCTCAGAGTGTATCTCACTGTCAACCTGAGCACATTTACTCAGGGGGTTTACATATGTGATACGATATAGTACATGCAGTTCATTGTCTCCTGTACGCAGACACACACGCACAAGTGTTCGCCGTAAAAACAGAGGTCAGTTGAGGTTTTCCGCCAAAGCCCTCATGCTGATCTCATACTTCGAACACAAAAGCCACGTGTTGCCCGCTGCCCAACATACAGGTGTAGGTATCAGCAGGCTACAAATACAAACCCAAACCCAAACACACACACACACACACACACAGTCCAGAGTTATCTTTCTCAATCTAAAACACTGCGGAGGACCGATCACACTTTGGGGTAACGATGAGTCAGATGTTGTGTAACACACAGGAGAAAGATGTGGACCACTGACATTTGCAACCATGGAAGTGTTGTCTAAACCAGTGTTTGGCTGCAGATTAACCATCCATTATGCATTGTTATGTGCTGTGAACTATATATATACTTATATAGTATATGTATATATGTATCCAAGTGTGACACATTACATAATTTTGCAGGGCGTGACCCTGCCGCAGCAGCACTGCAGGCAGCAGCTGTCTGCCTGGCCTCACTGAATCTTTACGTTGCCTCGGATGCACTGTTTACGCTTCCTGTCGTTTCCTAACAATTTCCCACAGAGGAACTTTTTAATCACTGAACAGGAAAGTTCTAAGGAAAACGTATTTGTTATACGACTGTGAGAAAAAGGGAGACTGTATTTAAATGAGACACTTTTATACCTTCATTTCCTCAAAACTTCCTAAAAACCTGTTGTGACACACATGACCAGGTTAACCTGTTTGAGGGGCCCCCGCGGCAAAAAAGTCTCTTCTCAGCCCCTCCCTTCTTCCCCAACTACTGCACTCTGTACAATGTCGTTGCCCTTGTTGCCTCCAAGTCCTGTGCAACAAGCACTGGTGTATATACCAGAATGCTTTGTATTACTTTGTGGTAATCTGATTAAATACTACTTTATCAGGAATGTGCATCACATGAACATGATGTAAACTAAAATAAGCTCATGTCATTCAACTCTAAGCCATGGAGTCATAATTAATGGATCATGCGTTCAGCATTTGTGTTTCTTTTTATATCCCATTGTTTACAATTTGTGTTTTAACCCTTGTGTTTTGTTCACATTGGCTTGACTGTCTCACTGTTATACGTTTAAAAAACAACAACCGCAAAATCAGCCATGTTTTCCTTCAAACAAAGTATAGAAATGAGACATGGTCATTACACCAAATAAGGAAATATGTCATGTTTTGTATGTTATATATTATATATATTACATGAGGTACGCATGAACAAAGGTATATTCCTTCTATTTGCCAAAAAGCCATTCACAGACAACTGTATACATTATCCTACAAGGTGATATAATAGATTTGGGGTCAGAGCTCTAACTCCCTGTTTAAACTTCTTATCAACAAACTGTTAGCAGAAATCCAAACAGACATATTTGGAATTGGGGGTGGGGGTGGGGGGTGCTGCACGTACTGTCAACACCAATCACAGATACACAGCACAGGGAAATCCATTGTATTTCATTGTGTTTTCTGAGACCTCAACCAAGAAGTAACTGTAGAAATCATGGGCTTCGTCATCCTCAAAATCATGCTCATCAACAATTCTCAGAAAATTAAAAAAGTTATTTAATATCAAGCCGATGGAGGAATGTTAGGGGTGTTTTGTTTCTAGAGCTGTTAAGCAAATGAAATCAAAGGGTTTCATGCTGCTCAGACTGTAAATCCCCTTCAGGCAAATTTGCGTTTTGTGATGCTGCGTTATATAAATCTCCAGACCTGAACATTGTGGGTAAAGAATATAAAAAGCACTAGAATATTGAATATCCTCCGTGAGTTATACGCTTTTATTGCATGACTGACTCACAGCAACTGCCTCTTTATGCCCGGGAGAGACACAGAGGCGCAACATTACCTAATTGTTAAGGGGAGATTATCCTGTCAGAGGGGGGCGGGGCGAGGGAGGTCAGATGATGATGATGGCGACGATGCATAGATGCATTGATCGAATAGATAGAGATGATTGATGATGACTTGATGGAACAGCTTAGGCTATGTTATATGAGAAGCCGATAGGAGCTTTCCTCTGGATGGGAGCGGGGGAGGGGGGGGGGTGGGATGGGAGGGCCAGGGAGGGCAGCGGACGGAGGGGTGGGAGCCGGGGGGTCACCACAGAAGGCGTTCTGTCCAGAAACACAACCACACAAACAGGGCCCCGCTGGTTCAAGTGAGGATAGGGACCGTCCTGAGCTGAACTCAACGTTACAAATAGGAGCTGCGGCATTCCAAGTGGAGCAGAGTGGAGGTGCGCCACACCGATGATAATATTAAGTAACAGCGCCGAGTGGATCTGCGGCATTAAACCAGAGAGGGAGACAGAGGAGAGCGCTTCTTCCTGCACCGGACCACAAGACGCTTGGAGACGCGGATGAGTCATGCGCACCGGCGGAGAAAACTGATCATTATTCAGAGGTAACATTATTTTTAATGCGGGATTTCCTCATATGAGAATCTTTTAAATTGTTCTTGTTTTTTTTTTTTTTTGATTATATAGGCTACAGTTGAGTAGGCTAGTATTACGCTAATTAAAGTAACAACATGATAATGCCTGAATAGTCTATTTAACATCATGTTTTATTCACATTTTAAATTACTTATAAATGAAATAACTTCAAATGATTTTTAGACCGCTTTCATTTCAAGCTGATGTGGGAATAAGTTTCAGTTTTCGGTTATACTGTTATAATCATTTACTCGCTTTTGTTACTGCTTATACTGAAAATTTTTACAAAAGATTATTTTTAATATAAATTTTAAAAAAAAGGAGGCTGGCAACTTTTTCCGGTAAGAAACTGTCAGTTGCCTGTAAATCTAAATAGTCTCTAATGCCGGTGATGCTGAGTGTATGTCAGGTCAGATCTGCCGTCCGGAGATCAGCGGTCAGACAGCGAGGATCAAGTGAAACACTCAGACCGGAAAAACGATCTCTTAATAGGGCTTAATACAGAACATGAGAGATAAACCCATAAATGTTTATTTAGGTCTCTGACTAAACACAAATGTAGGTTAAGAGCTTAACAGGTTAATGGCACATTGCGCCAGAGGTGTATTTCTTCTCGTGTTTAAAAAGGCTGCTGTCTGCAAGAGTACAGTCTAGTATGGAGGATTAGGTTTGTATTCCGAACGCACATTGTCCCATATTGATGGTATAATGAGCCTCGCAAGGTTATGGTACAAGTCGCTCCCGTTTTATTGGGGAGATGTAATGAGGTTACATAATATCGTGTTGTAATGGCTCTTGCATAACCACTAAATCCCTCTTCTCCTTTCCTTCCACCGCTTTGGTCACTAGGTGGCACTGTTGCTGCATCAACTCCTCCCGGAGATCCTGAGAGTCTAGCCAGCACACGGCACCACACAGCGGTCCTCTCCACTCTCAGCAGTCAGGAGCGGCTCATTCAAACCCCTGACAGGCGTGATGTTTGAGGAAGAGTCCCAGCAGATGAGGGGGCAGCAGGAGGTGGCTGTGCTCCAGCCACTGGAGTCACCTGCAGCAGTGACTCCAGGTGGAGGCGGAGGTGGAGGAGGAGGAGGAGCAGGACCTCTGTCCTTCACAGATGAAGCTGTGTCTATCCTCACCTCCAGCAGCCTGTTGGCACGCTCGCTCCTGGGTCGCACATCTGCCATCAAACGCAAAGAGAGTCCGGCTTCCAGCCTCCGACGCAAGCGTGAGTTCATCCCGCATGACAAAAAGGATGAGGGCTACTGGGACAAGAGGAGGAAGAACAACGAGGCGGCAAAGCGCTCGCGGGAAAAGCGGCGTGTGAACGATATGGTCCTGGAGAGTCGTGTTCTGGCTCTGCTGGAAGAAAACGCTCGCCTCAGAGCAGAGCTCCTGGCTCTGAAGTTCCGCTTTGGCCTGGTGAAAGACCCCTCCAATGCTCCTATCTTACCCCTCACTACAGCTCCTCAGCACAACGCTCAAACCTTGACTCCTCACTATTATCTCCACAGTGGTGACGGAGGCCTCCCCAGCTCCTCAGCCTCCCATCCCAACAACCAGACAGGCCAGTTGAGCAGTCGGGGCTCCAGGGATGCTGGTAATATGTCTGAGGACTCTGGATTCTCTACACCAGGTGGGTCCAGCGTGGGCAGCCCAGTCTTTTTTGAAGACCGGCTGAGCGATCATGGGAAATTATCACCGCACAGGGCAGAGGAGCTGAGCTATGACCTCCACCACTCCCCTGCCGAGGTCCACCACATTGCAGAACTCACCGGAGGGAAGCTGGACCATGCCGAGGCGATGAAAAACCTGCCTCACAAACTTCGTTTCAAGACGCCAGGAGGCGGCGATGGGGCTGATGCTGCCGGGGACAACAGCAGCGCCAGACGCAGCCCCACGCTACCCACACTGGGACGAGAAGGTCCGAGAGAGACCGTCAACAAGGGACTAAGTGGAGGCGAAACGAGGGCAGGGTACTGCGCCGGCCCCTGGCTCCAGCAGCTGGAGGGGGACGATGGCAGAAGGGGGAGACAGTCCCCTCAATACAACGCCTCCTCTGCCAGCTACAGCCTCCATCCTCCTCCCACGCAAGGACAAACTGAAGTCCAGTATCAACATGAGAACACTTACCTGAAGTCTCAGCTCAACTCTCTCAGCGAGGAAGTGGCTCAGCTGAAGAAGCTTTTCACAGAACAGCTCATGGCCAAAGTCAACTGAGGACCAGTGCTGTGAGTCAGTCGGTGTTTGCCAACGTCTAGACTTTTAAGGACGAAACAAAGTTTTACTGTAAGTGAGCCTATTGAAATTCAGCACAGAATCAGGAGTGTTGGACCACGCAGATATTCACAAGGACTGATCAAACTCAACTTTCAAGTCTGACAATGTGTTGTTTTTTTTCTTTCATATACTGTATTATATTGTAATAAATGTCTATAAACATTCATCTCATAACCTGCTGTCTAAAAACTACTTAATCTCAGCTCCGATCAGTGTTGCTCAGGCAGTTTTACCTGTAACAGTGTTAAGTGTGTTATAGTTTTTCGATTCCATACACTGTGACGACTAAAAAGACGACATAAAACTGTTTACATCACATCATCACAATGCAAGTTTAACTAAAATAGCCTCACTCCATTCAGAAACACGTGGCGGTGGTTTGGGAAAGCTCCGTTAAATCCAGCTGGAAATCAACCAGCAGGTTGTTTAGACACCAGCGTGGACGACGTATTTGCAGTTTTGTAATTAGAGTGGTGAGACTCTTAACTGCTGACAGAGGTCTGTTAAACCCCTGTACACACACACACACACACATACAGAGACGGAAAGTAAATACACAGAAATTAAATCAGTAGCTCTCGAAACCACCATTAGTCTTGAGGGATAGAAGGAAAGGCTTGTTAGAGTTGTTTACCGTCGCTAGTTATGTGCAAAACTGCATCGTGTCATGTCTGATTTTTATTTTCAGGAGCACACACTGTAACACGTACTGTTTTGGTGTTTCACATCCTCTTGTTAGTCTCTGCTCACGCTCATGTTTGAACATATTTTATAACTGTTATCTGTACTGAGGTGATGACGAAAGTTAAACGTCTGCTGTGTCTCTGTACGTTTTCATATTAAAAATAAACAAATTTGACAGATTCAGCATCGCGGTGGTGAGTTGATCAATACTGGGGGAAAACCTTAAAAAGGGGAAGTTCAAGATTTAAAAGTTTGAATGTCAGCAGGGTTATTTCAGCTAGGGCTTGAGACTTCAACAGAAATCCAACTTAGGAAGCATTTAGGAGGCAGGAGGTTCTATCTAAAGCTGCTACTGTGTTGCATTATGGGAACTGTAGTGTTTTTGGCGATTGACCCCTACTTGGATTTAAAAGTCAGGAAATTGCAGCATTTGCCTGTTTGATTTTTACCATGCTGTTTTTTTTCCGGTGAGAAAGTGCAATATTAAATCTGTGGCGTGTCCCTTTAAGCACCAACAGAGCGATGCCCAGCATACATTACCGTAAATCCCATCCAGCAATCAAACTAAACATTTGAAAGTGAATACACAAAGGCTCTTTTAAGCTTTGATGTGATTTCCCTAATGACAGATAATGCGTTGTAGCACGAGGGAATAAACAAAAGAAAAACAGGAGAAGGGAGAGGTTTGACAGACAAGTGCTGACAAATGCAGGCGGTGAGAAGTACAGTCATACACTTGGCAGGTTTCACTCCCACAGTCTCTGCAGGAGGCTAGACAGTCTCACAACCAGACAGACAGAGACAGAGACAACATGTCTGCTATTACTCAAGCTTTGAGAGACCTTCAAAACATGAGAGCGTTAATTATAACAGCTTGAGGGGAATTCAAAGTCCAAGGAGAATGGACAGCATGAACTTGACGGGGCGATATAGTCACATTCAGTCTAAATAAAGACTCTTGTGGTTCTTTTTCTAATGTGACTATTTGTCATTAGTGTTATTTAAATACAGTTTTGTATCCACTAAAATCTGTTAGCACTGTTTCTAAAATCATGCCACTTTGGTGTCAGCAGAGGGCAGCACAGACAGTATCTTCAGCGTGGCTATGGAGCCCCAGAGTCTGTGTTTCACAATCTACCATAAGATATAAATCACACTATGGATCACTGCAATTTTTATTGTTCCTGCAGGTTAGCAAGTTAGTTGGCATGGAAATTAGTGATACTTATTTTCAGCAACTGTGCACATGTATTTTTTTGTGTTTCTATGTGGGTGTATTTGGGAGAAAACGTGCAGAGGCTGATGCTTAAATACGTAAATGTCAATTGAATTTAGAGAAAATAAATACTGGATGCAATAAAGATTACTTCAAGTCATTATTATGTTGCTATGAGAAATTCTCCGATAGTTCATTCAGCTTGACGTGTGTCATCATCATTTTATCATGACAGAGATGATGCTCTCATCTCTTCTGCTTAAAAAGTATTCATTTTAGCTTTTCATATCCGTCAGAGGAAGCTGGGCCAAAAACAGAAATATACTGTGCTTATAATTCTTCCCAAAAACAGACCATAAACGAGCATAAATATCCTGAGTAAACTGGAGAAGCCTGTGGTGAAATGGAAAGGTAATAAAGTAGAGGCGAGGCAGGCGCTGCAGGTGTAGAGCGGAGAGAAGAAGAAGAGCCTGATTTAATGAATCTACTGCAACATGCTGCTGTTACACCACTGTCCTCAACCACATCCATGCACCCATAAAAAAAAAAAAAAAAAAAAACCTGCAAACCCCCACAACCCCGTCTTCCCCCCCATTCTGTTCCCCCCTTTTTCTTCCAGTGAAAGGATAAAGCCTGTTGCTAGGCAGGCAGTGCGACAGTTGCCATGGGAACGCTTGCAGACATAGCTGGAAGGGGGGAAAACGTTGGGCAGGGTGGGGATAAGGATGGGGTGCAAAAGGAGAGGGAGTGATGCGGAGACAGAGAGTGAGAGTAAGTGTGTGTGTATGTGTGTGTGTGTGTGTGTGTGTGTGTGTGTGTGTGTGTGTGTGTGTGTGTGTGTGTTTATATGGGGGGAGGGGGATCCAAGTTCACGGCCAATGCCTCTGCTCCTTCAGTGCTGTTTGTCTCCTCCGGCTAAAGAAGGAAACAAAGAGATGTGAAGGAATGGTGATCCATATTTGGTTCAAATTTCAGGCTCCACATTCAGGGTTACCCTCCGATGATGCCGTGTCACAGGATGTACGTGTGAGGTGGATTCTGAATGAATGGCGAAAAGGCAAAATAAAAACAAAAAAAGATGGTTTTAGCACCTGCACAAATCTGGACTAATGCGTATAAAAGAAAAGCACGACAACAAAAAAAAAAATGTCACTTGGCACGATTGAGACAGTGACAGTTATGAAATGTATTCAACAAACTACAGCATGGACAAACACAGAAACAAATAATTACCATAGTATCAAAAGGTGAAAAGTCCTTAACATCCTTCAAGGCCACAATTATGCAGAATAATTGATGTAATTAATGCAATTTTATGCACCACACATACAAACATTACTGTAATGTGCCGAGATGTGGAGCATCCTTCTGTCTGTATGGGGAAAAAACAATTATGAGAATCCAAGGGCAAGTTTTTTTGAACAACCACTCACACTTTCACACACCCTTTTTTCGCTGCCATGCAAAAAGATAGAAGAGCCTTCAAGATAAAAGGAGATAATGAACACATCCGCAGCAGAAGTCAGCCTCCAAGGCATCCATTCATGCACTTTTTTTTCCCCCCCCTGTGTAAATTGCTCTGTGGATAATGTACTGTGCTGTACATTTACTGAGACGCTGAGCAGACCTTAACCACTGCTGTGCCTGGAGCAGGATGCAGGGAGATGGCTATCGGACACGTGGAGCTGCTTCAGTGATTGTCCAAACTGCACCGTTTATATTGTCTACATTGTCAAACTGCTGTGTGCAAGTGCGATTATTTACTGCTTACCTCTCTAAAACTAAATGGGAGCAGCCTCAAAGCGTTTTTGAAATAATGCATCTGTTACGCCCTCTCCTAGGGTGAGTCTCTCTGATACAGTCCCCTGCATGGCAGCCTGATAACCATTCAGCTGCTCACTCAAAAGCCTCCTTTTCAACTACCCAAAGGACAGCGTTTAAATCAGAAAGGGTAACATTAACAAAACAGTTTAACACCCCTGATCTTTGTGTGTGAATCTCCTCCACGCTTTGTGCCCGCTCTGCACGACTGACGCACATTCCTGCTTGTGATCACGGTGAATCAAAACACGCACCTCGGTTACACAATATGGACACATTCAGTCCAGTTTAACAGGCTTATTCAACAGTGCGACAGACGTAGCTTCAGTTTGTTGTGACAGTACAACAGCAGATACCATGAGTGCCGGGCCAAGCTTCCATAATGATTAAACCAGGTGTCAGTGTCACAATATTTGATCTTGAGTTGAAAACACAATAACTAGTTTATACAACAAGTCATTTCCTGATGTGGTTATACAGACACACTAAGTTAGTGCGTTAGTGCCACAGGGCAGGGGGGTGGGGGTGGGGGGGGGGGGCAGTTTGACACACATATGTAGGTGAATACTTACACAGGGTGTGGACCCACTCAAAATTCTTGCAGTCATGTTCACCGTGACCTGAATATGATGGAGCAGTGATATTAAGTTTCACTGCTGTATCCAACTATTTTTATATCAACCAGGTAGAATCCATGTTATCATCATTGAATCGATATTATTTGCAAAGTAATAAATATATTGAGTATTTCTATAATACTTTGCATTTGCTTTACATTTATATGACAGTTAAATTAAAGGGTATTTTGCATATTTGGGGCGGCTGTGGCTCAAGAGGTAGAGTGGGTCAACCATTAAACAGAAGGTCGGTGGCTTGATCCCCGGCTCCTCCTTCGCATGTCGAAGTGTCCTCAGGCAAGATACTGAACCCTAAGTTGCCCCTGATGGAACAACCATCCGATAAGACATGAAAAGCGCTATATAAGTCCAGTACACCACAACTTTTTGAGGGTATAAGGATTCTGTTATACCTTCAGACAGATCCAGGCTAACAGTTCCCTCCTGTTTAAGGTCTTTGTGCTAAGCTAAGCTACCAGGCTGTTTATATTTACTGACAGACATGAGAGTGGTTTCAATCTTGTAATCTAACTTTTGGCTAGAAAGCGAATCAGGGTTTCCCAAAGTATCAAACTATTCCTTTAACCTGAAGAGGAAACAAACAGGAAACAGCTCAGAGTTGCACTGAAAGTCACGTGGCCGTGTAGTAGATGAAATTAAACCTGCACAAATTATGAGAACCTGTTTCCACTAATCACCGACAGTGGCTTGGCTTTGTTTCTATGTGTGTTTTCCTGGCATGGCGCATTTTTAAAATATATTGACCTTATTATTGGTGTCATTGGCCCTGAACTGACTGAGTCTGGCACGGAGCCTAGTCCCTCCCCCGTCAGGCCTTTCTCCTCCCCCTGCGCTCCCCCTGCGTCTCCTCTCCTGCAACAGGATTTGAAGGCGAGGAGAGAGGGAGGGGGCAGAGCCAAGAGAGAAACAAAAAACGTGACTAGGCACCCAAAGCGTCCTGTTATGCAACAACTGACCTACTAACATACATTTAGAGACTCTGAGAGAGAAGGGGAGAGAGAGAGAGAAGCGAGAGAGAGAGAGAGAGAGAGAGAGAGAAGGAAATAGAGAGAGAGAGAGAGAAAGAGAGAGAGAGAGAGAGAGACAAACATGACATGAGGAGCGTACTGAAAACAAGCGGCACTGTGTTCACACTCTCGCATTTACCTGCACTAATCGGAGAGCTGGTGTTTTGAAAGTGTCGATCGGCGTGTGAGTGTATATGCTTGTGTGCGTGTGTGAGGGCAGCAAACCGGCGACCGATGCGCAAAGCGGATTGTTGGACAGGATCAGGACCCTCTGTGGATTGTCACTTTTAAACAAAAAGGGTAAGTGTGTGATATTATCATTATTATCATTATTATTATTATTATTATTATTTTTAATAATAATAATAATAATAACTGCATCATTACAGCCATATGTGATGGTGGATGTAAGACACGGGCTTTTCTGAATAACTCTCTTTCTGCATTGTGGTGAGGAGTTGGTCGCCGCTCTCACTCCATGAGTGTTTGTTTTGGTGCCTGGGTGCGTTTTTCTCAATGTCAAGGCGAGGCTGTTTTCACCCTCAGTATAGACTGGTGGAGCTGTGTGGGGGGGCTCTCTGTGTGTTTGTGTTTTTGTGAGAGAGAGGGGGAAAGAGGGGGTGGTGGTGGTGGGGTTGGGGTTGGGGTTGGGCAGTGGTAGCCTAGAGGGTATGGATTCATTCAGAAAGGGAAAAAACAAAAACACGGTGGAAACACACGGAGGCAAATGTGGATATTTTGGAGCGGTGCCACAGTTGTAATGAGGCTGGGTCAACACATCCGCGCTGTGGTGTTCTGGTGCAAACCCCAGGCATTGTTATGGTGCTTTTAAGGGTCCGTTTATCCCAGGGTCGGTTTAGTAATACACCTGCTTTCATAACACGCGTGGCACAGATGCATGTTATTTAATATAGACCTGAATTGAATGTGCCAAGTATATGTGCTGCTATTATTATTATTGTAATTAATAATCATTATGATCATAACATTATTATTATTATTATCATTATTATTATCATTATTATTATTATAAGGCTATATAAAGAGAGTATTCTGTTAGTAGCCTAAAGTTCAGAGTCAGGTTTATATGAATGTGTGTTGCAGAGAATGTGAACTGCGACTTATTTATACTCGGCTTCTTTTGGGTTAGTAGGCTAGTCCGTGCAGACAACTGGAAAAATCCCATGCAAACTCCGAGGACACACTTCTCTGTGTCACGTGTAGCTGCTCTTTGTAAAGGTTAACGCGGCTGTGCAGCCTTAACCCTTTAGTAGGCGAGCAGTCTGAAGGAGCACAACACAAACCAGAGCGCAGCGACAGGCATGATCGAGGCATGATCCGTCCATCCTTGGATACATGTGGACCGTCAGTTTTACTTGTGCCTCTTTTGTTTACAACCACGGCTCGGACTGCTGGGAGCCAGAAATAGAAAGGATGGAGAATGGTGAAGTTCACGGGCTCTGCTGCTGAGGGCAGCCGCTGCAAGGTGAGGTGTGGATCAGAACATCTGGATCAGATGTGGGTCAGATGTGTTACTGTAGATTCCGGATCAGCTCTGTTCACTGCTACAATACAGATGAAAACGTGTTGATTGTTCGCTGGGTTTCGTCTAATTTCTGAGACAGTGGGTTGAATTTCGTAGCACAGTTGGATTCATACAGTCGCCTCGGATGACTGAGGATCCGATTAAATATGCATGAAGACGATTTGTCAGACAGTGCAACAAAGGACGCACGCGGAGTAACATATTATTCACAATGTGTTGCTTCTTGAATTTTAAGTGATTGCTTTTTCTTCGCTTTGTGTTCAACCGATACGAGGGCGGAATGAAACAATAGCCTACATTATGGCCTTTAATTGAACTTGAGCGGCTGTAACAACTCCGCCTGCATGGCTGCAGTCCAGCACCGGTCCAGTGGTGCTGGAAATGTTGTCAGAACTTACAGGCTCATATAGATGACAAAGACACAAGGGCGACTTTATGTCTTCTGTGTGAGATTTTACATTTTATTTTGAAATAGGAGACTGATCTTGGCTTTATTTTAAACACCGGCTTTGTGGTTTATACACTGCACGTGGGCATGGTCGTCCCCCTCCTTCTCTTGCGGCTTTCCTCTCCAGTAATGGCATGCCTGAAGGCAGCGCATGCAATAACAGTTTATATTCTCACAGAGAGGCAGTGCGAACAAGTGCTTTTCTACATTTCAAATTAATATGTTAAATGATAATGTGAAAGTGTCAGGACAGCCTGTCTCTCCTCAGTGGAGCATGACTCTGAGCATTTTACGCATCGTAAATTGTGAATGGCGAAATTGTATACAGGCCTGCCGTGTAGGAATCACTGAAGAGGTTATGAAGGTTGCATAATAAATGAATTAAATAATTAAAATGGATTAAAGAATGGGGCAGATTATGCAATCGTCGGAAACCCATAGTCTGTGGCTATGCAGCGCTGCGCTTTGCTGCGGAGCGGCCGCTGCCAATTGGTTGGCGCGCACACTGGGTCTCTATGCCAGCTGAATGTAGGTCACATTAGCCCTGTGGGAGGGGGGAACGAGGCGCACAACCGCCGCTGACTAGAAAGGCAGAATCAAAACCCCACCAAAATAAATCATCGCCCCGCCATAACAAAGAAACGAGGCAGGCATGCAGAAGAAGGAGATAACAGCCCCGCGCGACCCACATAAAAACCACTTCTCTAAAGTTGCACATTTACTGAAGAAATAAAAGAAAACCCCTTTTAAGTATTTTCAAGCATATTGCATCACTGCTGTGAACTGCTGAGACAAGTGCTCTGTGGTTATTTAAGTCTGATCGAAGCAGAGTCTGCGTCCAGCTTTTACTAAATAAAAACCTGGGAGGGGAGTTCATGGTCAGGAGCGTGAAGCTGTTTCCATCCTGTCCCATTTTGTGGCCTCTTGACTTTCTCGGGGTTTCCTGGCACATGTAAGATGATAAAAGATGAGGGCCGTGCTTTGTTATTGCGCTGTGGTTTGGAGCCAGCACAGAGGCGAATTACAGCATTTAGTAGGCCAAGGGAGCACATGTGACTGGTGCAACACATGGACTGAGTCACTCTGCTTTTTTTCCCTTTTCCAGAGAGAGGGGTTGATATGGCTGTGTGTTCGTGGAACAAGGATCTAGCTTGGATAGGACTCCGCCTTACTGGCATGCCGCCCGATTTTTTTTTTTTTTTTAGGCCCCCACCCTCTTTACCTCTTTTTTCTTAGGAAGATAAAGTCAGTCCTCAGAATTGGTATTCAAGCAGACCCCACCCATGACCCCCAACCCTGCACCACGCGCCATACATTATATTCTTCCCAGGAGAAGGGAGGGCAGGCGGGCAACAGTTTCATCATTGCCTTCTCCACTGAAACATGTGCCCCCCTCTCCTTTTATTTTAGACCTGCTCCCATTTCCTGAAACGCTCCACGGAAACACGTGCAGAGGGTTTGAACTCAGTCCACCGTTTCCAAAGCTCATTGCCACATTTAGACTCCTGTGGTGTGGGGCCTGTGGTTGTGTGAGCGAGTGCAACTTGGATTCTTTTACGTTGCTATCATTCCACAAGTGCCACAGAGACCTAGCGATGACACGTGAAGAATATATGATAAATTGCAAAGAGTAATCGAGGTCAGGGGAATGTGGGGCTGCAACACACTGCAGGTTGGCTGCTTTCACTGGGATCTATTTGTATATTTGAGCCGGAAAATTTAAGTCATGCACGCAGATTAAAAAAAAAAAAAATGGCTGCATCCTAACTCTGCTTTTGTTAGCCGTGATTGATTTGCCACGTTTCTGCTGCTGTGGCTTTAAGCGTCTCGGGAAATGTAAATCTGTTGTAATTGTGATGACAAAGAGGTTGAATGAAACGGATTACAGCCTGAACTTTCGTTCGTTCGTTCACGTGGTTGAACGCTGAGGGGGTGCAACAGAGGGAGAAGACAGACACAAACGCACGGTACAAAGCGAGAGCCACCGCTGTGAGTTAATTAAACACAAGAGTTCATTCATGTGTCTGGGCTCATCCCGGGTGTAGGGAGAGATATGTAATAAACGCACCCTGTGACGTCAATCAGCCTGCTTTTCGTTACAGGACCTTGTTTTCTCCCCAGCTGGTTTTGGCCATGTCAAGACACTGGTTCAGAGCAAGGGGGGGAGAGAGAGAAAAGTCCGATATGACTGGCTGCCCCTTCCGCCCCCCGCCCCCCCTTTTTGTTGCTATGGGTGACACATTCTTTCCATTGATGTAACACCAACATTGTCACAATTGCCCACATGGCCCCCCCCCCCCCCCCCCCCCCCCCCCCCCCCCAGCTACACAATAATTCTCATTCTCATCCCTTTCGTTTGATTTAACTCTCCCTCATTGATTCCCTCCGTTTCTTTGTCTCCACTCCACTTCCTCTCACCTCCATCTATATTTAGACAGTGCTCTAATTTTCCACGCCTCCTTCTTCTTTTTTGTTCTCACATCTCTTTTTGTCTTTTTCTTTTCTTTTCTTTCCCCAATATCTCCCCTCCCTTTTTCTCTTGCTGCCTCACCTCTTCACGGCTCGGCTGACCTATATTCCAGCGAGCCGTACAGTGGAAGCAGCAAGACTTGTGTTTACAGAGTGCAGTCGGTCCCCAGTTTCTGGGTCAGTGGGCCACGCTGAGAAAAAAAAAAGTCTCTCCCCTCATTCTTTCTCTCTCATGCCCAGCAGCCACATGTCAAAGGCTCACGGGGATAACCTTAAACTATTCAGCCAAGCAGGGGTGAAAAAACAAAAATCCAGACAGCGACGTCTTCATTCCTAAACAAAAATGATAGACGTGTAATCTAGATTGTTAGATTAGATTCGATTCTTTTGAGAGAAAGTAAAAAACCTGACGATCCAGCCTGTTCTGTATTTTGTCTTTGTATGTCTGTATTTTAGAGCTGAGAGAATTCATACTCCTCCCTGAAACAGGGCAGAAATCCATATTCATTGGCAGGATACGCCTGTAGTTACGTAATGGTGTCAGATCGTGGGGAAGAGCAGAGTAGAACCAGTGTAAACACCTTTCCAGATTATGAGATTACATATTCAGACAGTGTAATACCGCTTATGCAGTTTAACCTTGGAGTGCAGATGTTGAGAAACACACATTTAATGGCGCTGGTTAAATGGATGGGAGCTACTGTTTCTTCGTTATTATGGATATATTCAAATATACAGAGAACACCACTCCATATGTGAGGAGATACTGTTGTCACCACATGTCGTGCAGAAAGGGTCATCTGGTCATCATAATATCACATATAACTCATTTCAGACTTTTAATGATTTTTACATTAAATAGGACTAAGAGCATACAGTCATGCTAAGGGCTCATAAGAGGCTGAACTAAGGCGCAGTAGCACCATCCATGCTAACATGCCGACAGTGCTAACATGCTGATATTGGCTGATGGGAGTGTCATTAGTTTGTGAGTATTTGATCCATCCAGCAGTTGTCGAGCACCACAAATGTCACAGGAAAAAGTTTTTGGCGTCAACCGAAAAGTCATTGCGATTTGGGCTCCATGACTTGTCTCTGTACAGAACTCATCCATCCAATAACTGCTGAGATATTTCAGTCTGGCGTAAAGTGGTGGATCAACCGGCAGTCTGACAGAGTCATCTCTAGAGCCGCGCCGCTTACATGACTAACAGTGGAGCTTTTCTGTGTGATTCATCGGTGTTATGCTCTAATAACAGCAAACATCTTGTCTGGGAGCACACCTGTTCAGCTCATTATACAGCGCTCCCTGCTGCTTTTGAGCTCTGAGCCACCGATCTCCATACTTACGAGACTGTCCGACCACTCTTGTGTTTTACCCAAATGTTATCAGGCCGTGTTATTCCTGCCCATGTCCCGCCTCCTGCCTCCTTTCTTTCCAGGGGCCCTTGACCTATATTTATCAATGTCCCGCCTCCCAGCTGCCCCCACACCTCCAAATCTCTCGCTCCAGTCTCAGCCTCTTTATCCTTGACCTGCACCGGCTGCTGCCTTTGTCTGCCTTATCTGCTCACTCTGCATCATTGATTTGGCATTGAGTTATTTTGGCGAAGAATGCTGCCACATTCCTCTGCGGATGAACGCAAGGGGGGGGGGGGGGCTAGCACTCTCTAAGTAGTGTTTGTGGATGGTGTTTCTCAGCGAGAAAGTGGTGGGCTGTCCCTTATGGAGGTTTTTTATTGTGAAATGCTGTAAAAAGGGAATCAGGGAACCCCACCGGCCCTGCATCTGACTCACCCGTTGCTCTGTCTGGTCCAAATTCTCGCCAGACAAACCAAAGGAGCTAATCCTTATACACTCTAGTTTTGTGCTCTCAGCATGCATCAGACTAATGTAATTTCTTTAGTGTTATAATTACAATAATTATTAACAATAATTTTTATTTAATTTGTGCACTTGCCTCAATTGTCATTAGTTCTAATTAACAGTCTTTTATTTTTCCATTAGCTGCCTCAAAAACTGTGAGCTCAGATCTGAACACTACTGGGAGACAAAATGAGACAGGATCATCAGCCTTGCGATGAACCCAGTGCCCACATTACATCACAAAAGTCAACATCAACATGTCAGGCTACGGGGTCAGGGGTCATAGGCTGCAGACAGAGCAGATCAATAGTGGGGTTAAAAGGTCAGACAGTGAGGTCGTTGGTTGCCAGGAGCGACGCAGTCAGTAAAAGCCAGACATGCCAAAGCAGCAGAGGAAAGCTGTACAGATGTAGACATGTGTCTTTCATCACCATCCATGTTAAAAGAGAAACATCATTAGGAGAAATTAGTTAAAAGAAATAATCGTAAGTCTGATACATAATGCATAACCGTGCACGAGCGGCCCACATGGATTAATGTTTTCTTTTTTTCTGTTTTTATCTCTGCAGCCTTTCATCTTGCAGTCTACTGCGGAGAGCAGAGAGACAGGCAGAGGGAGGGAGAACGAGAGCGAGGCTCCCCAAGAGACTGACACGCCGAGGTAGACGGGCCGACCTACATCCTGCTGTTTGTGTGGAGATCTAGGACACTTCTCCGCCAGCTTAGCTCAGTGTGCTGCTCTTACGCTAAACCTCTAACCACCAACAGCAGAACAGCAGGAGGACGAAAAAGAAATTGGCCTCGTCCACTCAACTTCGTTGACAAGGAACTTTGTGCTTTTTCCAAGACTGATCTGATCCACTTAGGGTCTGTGATTCATTGAAGAGATTGGACACTGAACTAAAAACCCTTTCAAGTGGATAAATGAGGGTTGCTATTGTTGAACTCCAGCTGTTCTTCATCTTTTTAACTAATTTGGACACTTGACTCCCCTCCCGTCATAACTAGACCGAACCTGCAATAAAGAGACTTTTGGAGAAAACTTTCGAAGGTGTTTCATCGCCACCTTGACCTCTAACCTGTTTTTTTTCCTTAGTCGCCCAAGCATCATTTCAAACTGGCTGCCACAAGACAAGAATGGAAAATCTGACGTCAGCTCTCAAAACATTAAACAAGAATTCAGGGAATAACCTAAACTGCCTTGACACATTTAACGGTTATGAAGAGTCTCTTCCCCCTATCCAAGGGACTCCAACTCGCCTAGGGCGCCTCATCAAACCGAAACCCAATATGACCTGCAGGCGAAAGCGCGAGTTCATCTCTGATGAGAAGAAGGATGCCTCCTACTGGGAGAAACGTCGCAAGAACAACGAGGCTGCCAAGCGCTCCCGGGAGAAGCGACGTCTCAATGATATGGTTTTGGAAAACCGTGTCATTGCACTGAATGATGAGAATGTGAGGCTCAAGACTGAGCTGCTCCAGCTGAAGCTGCGCTTTGGCCTCATAAGCACTGCTTCGTACATTGAGAAGAGCCAGCAGATTGGTGGGGGCAACAACACAGGAAATGGAGGCTCATCCTCATCCTCCACTACCCAGTACTACTCCAGCGGTTACTCTAGTGGTTCTCAGGTGATGATGGGCTCCGACTCCTCAGAAACAGAGCAGTCAGGACGCAGCGAGAGCCACAGGCAGCTGGTGAAATACTCTCCACGTGGTTCCCTCTCTGACATGTCCGACGGCTCCTCCAGGGACAGTCCCGAGCCAATGCCCTTTGAGATCAAACAGGAAGGTGACAGGCTGGAGATGGACATTGCCAATGGCACCACAACCCAGATCATGTTTAACATCCACCGCGGTCTGGCCTCTGTACCCACTCACCACCAGATCCAGCAGCATTCTCAGGACCTGGAAGCTGCATATCACAGCCAACAGCAGCAGCAGCAGCAGCAGCAGCAGCACCTTCCCCAACAACAACAACAACAACAACAACAACCCCATCAGGAGCCTGTTACAGCTATCAACACTGTTAACCAGACAGCCCCTCACCCACCTGCTGCCCAGAGGAGCGTCATTCTGTACGGCTCCAGCAGTGCCTCTTATCCTGTGGACGTCGACATGCAGGCAGCTCAGAAGCAGAGCGGCGGCGGCAGCAGCCAGACGTGCGTCAGTCGACTGCCCCAGTCCATTACAGAGAGCTCCACAGAGACACTGGCTGAGGTGACAGAACAGCTGGAGAGGAAGACATTAGACTCCCCTTCGTATGAGCTCTCAGACAGCCGTAATGAGGCTGGAGAGAGACAGGTGTACAGAGTTTGCCAACTTCCCCAGCAGCACCTGCAGCAGGAGCAGCATCAGCACCAGCAGGAGAGCGATTCGTCTGCAGAGCTCCTCCACAAACAAGCGGAGGGGCTCAACCACTCGCACCTGTACCACCATCTCCAGCACCCTCATCATTCATACCTCAGTGCCCAAGACGAGGAGCCACCTGTCCTTACCTACGAGGGCGGGCCCAGGAGTGAGGCTTACTACCAAAGCCAATCAAGCTCCTCGAGCAAAGACACGTCATCCAGCGATGGAGATCCCCGCAGCTCTGACAAAGATGCCTCCACAGATGATGATGAGTCCCCCTCCTCGTCCTGCTCAGATATGGGCAGCTACCACAACCAACATCACACCAGCCTCCACCAGCCTGCCTCACCTCTGCCGTCCTCCCAGGGCTGCTCTCAGGCCCAGGGCCGGGATCCCCAGGGGGAGGTGAAGGGCACAGCGTTGCCCCACAAACTCAGGCTCAAACACCGGGCCATGAGCACCGGGAGCAGCGGCGGCAACTGTTCCGGCCACGAGTCCCCAACCACGCCTCCTTCTGCCACACCGCCTCCCCTGCCCCAGCACCCCTACTTTTCCCTCACTCCACAAACGAACAGTAAGCGGGAGAGCCCGGGTGGAGCCTGTAAGCAGGCGGCCTCAGGGCAGGGGGCCAGGAAGGAGAGTGGGAAAAAGGACACAGGCGGACGACGAAACAAGAGGCGAGAGTAGGTGACATTGACTTTTAGGACTTGTCACAACTTAAGAGACAATTTCTCCTCGAAGAATTACCCTGCCATCATGCCTTTGCCCTATAATCAAACCCCCTCCCTTAAGCCCTCTGGACAGTAATCAGGGCTTTTCTACTCCCCTACCACAAACGTCACCAAAAAGGCTGGACATCTTGTAGGGCTGTATCATATTTGTATATATTGTACAGATTTTTCATTTCTTACATCCTCTCCATACTTACAAAGCACTTTTGTTTATGCGATGAGAGGAGGAATGGAACTGCCTGCTTTTTCTACTTTTGTCATCCAACAATACCACAGCAGAGTACATCAGCAAAAGCACATTATGATCACATACAAACAAGATTGTGAGGAAAAACAAAAAGTTCCAGGATTTATCAGTACTATGAATTTGGTACATATCCGACTGTAGACGAACATACACGAGTATGGCTTATCTGCCTTAACTAAAATCAAATGCAAACGTACACTGGGTACATTCCCTCGACCAAAGAAGCACCAACACCACCAACACTACAAATATCAAGTTCCATACCTCTTCCCAGACCCTACCTCTACCAACCCATACTCTCCCCAACCATCTCCATTATTTCACAAAAGATCGCCATCACCTTTATTTTTTAAGCACTTGGTTTGTATATTACTGTGATATATGAATATATGTATCTATTATAAATATATATTTTACAAAGAAATTTGAATACAAATTCAACAAAAACGCGACAAACCTGCAACGGTAAAAGAGGATTTTTGAAAGTGACCATCCTAATATGAATCACAATCACTGTACAGCCACATTGTCTTCTGTTGTTACAGGACCCATTCAAATTAAAATGCCTCTCTCTTGATTGTTAAGCTTTAGCATTAATCATTTGTTAATGCCCTGTTTACACAGAAATGGCCGTCCAGTTTGGAGCGCCAACAGCACTGAATGGAGAACATGTTGTTTCCTGAGGCAAAGGCCTCATTAAAATGTTTGGATTTCTTAACCTTTAACCAGCCTTTAAATATTCGGTGGAATTCACCAGCTGCAGGCTAAAAGCCTTTAGTTTATTTGAGCTTTATCAACCATATCTTGTTGTTGTTACCATTTTACTGGCCCAATGTATTTATTTCCCTCTTCTCCACACGCCCATCACTGTAGAAAAGCCCACAGGAACATAGACGGAGAATGTGTACAGACCTTTTTAGATACATACTGCAGCCTTGAGTTTCAACTGTTAATGTAGGCATGGGATGCTTGGGGGCAAAAGCAAGTTCCCCTTGTGTAAAAGACCTAATAAGACCTCCACAGATACTGTACATTTACTGACGAGAGATGAGGTTTTGTAGTGTGACCAAGCATGACCTTTGAGGTTCATACTGGATCCCAGATAACTGAGTTATTATGAAATAAAAGCTAAGGCGGTACCAAATCTTTCTACCCCTCCAATTAGAGCCACTGTTAAAAAATAATCTGAACTTAAATTAACGAAGGACTCCCCTTGTTTCCCATGTGCCTCCATTATTCATTTCAGGGGTTATTCATCCCTGTCTCATGGTAGTTCTGCTACTGGGCAGTGATGAATTGCCTGCACTGGATTCTAGTTTTAAAAAGTCTATGTACCACGTTTGGCTTTTTGGTGCTTGTGTATAATTGTAAAGTTCCCCCTCCCCCCCTGAACAACACTGTAACGTTTATTTCATTGGTTTTATATCCTCTTTTTCGTCAAGGTGTTGTTCTGTTTTCCTCTATACTGTGTCTTTTCTCCTATTGACTGTGATGACATGTATTTGCCTCATTCCTCCTCCCCCTCCCCCCTTTTTTCAGTGTGTATTAATCAGTAATGTTTGTGGTTTTGCTGATGGTTTTATGAAAAAGAAAAAAGAAACAGGCAAAGATAGAGTGGTGTTTAGAGATGGTGGTTGGTCTGGTTGGTCATTACCATCGCTTCCTTTTGACATGAATATGTATGTAAAGACACTAACGTTCATTGTGGAAGATGGGAGCATTTCAAGATCGAAAAACAAAATAAAAAGAATGTTGACCTATCAACATATCATGAAAAGAGCCTGTTTTTCTCTGTTCTTACACCAGCGTTTGTGTGGTTCAGCACGATGAGAGTTACACAAACACACACACACACACACACTTGACATTGAACTGAGCAGCCATTTCAATCCGTCTAAGACTGTTTGGTTTTAAGCAGCACAGACTGTCAACATAGCAATCAGCCCGTAGGCAGCCTGACTCGTCATGCTATCAACTGTGGCGGTGATCTATAAACCTTTCTCCAGAACCACCAGTTAGGTAATACATTACTCACTGATTGACATAAGAGAATGAATCACCATTAGCAACCAAACAGAATAAATTAGGGCAATACAGCATTACAACCACACTCCGTTTTAGTCTCTCTTAGTTTCTTTGTACTGTCGGCGTTGTTATATAAAGACTTAATATATAAAGATTCTTTCAGCTTCAGACCTTTCTGACTTTTCTCACTAACTTGAGATTTAGATGAGAGCGAAGCTTGACAGGCACACCCTGTTTCCATTGTGCAGAGATAGCCTTGTATAGAGCTTTCCATTCCCCGTGGGCAACTTGCTCTTTTTTGGCATCGGAGGCTAATCTGCAGCGAGAGGGGCTTCGCAGTGACACACTGACACACTTTGCCCGACGGGGCCAGCAAAACTCACTGGCAAGCTCGTCTGATGTAACAGTGGCCTACTTCTGCAAACACACACGAGCTTTATGCATGAAAGTGTCATCGAACATTGCACTCACGTTAGGCACACACCCTCACTTAGGTATACACTCTTCTGATTACAGCCTCAGCATTCGAGACACATGTTTAAACCTCTTGTTAGTTTTGAAACACTTCCCCTGATCTTGAGTTGAAACATAAAGAGGACTCAGGCAAAGCTCTGAGAGTGTAAAATACCACTCCACTCGAACACACCCTCGTCCAGGCAGAGAGACACACTGGCCCACAAAGCCAGGGGATCGGCCTGAACAGGTGTGCCCCACAGAAATCCAGAATATTTATAGCAGAGGAGCGACACAAACCGGACTAAACAGACTAAACCTTTCTGAACTGAGAGAGTCAGCGCTGTGCGATGTGCTGGACAAAGCCGGGGCAGAGCCAGTCTGAGCCCCTGACTGCTGCTGCCAGCTCAACTGTCCTGCCAACCTCCTGGCCAGGTCCCAGCACATTCTTTGTATTGACAAAGAAAAGGCTGCTGTGTTATGACATCCAAGTCCAGACTCTCAGGCTTATATGGTACGATAGGATGGGATGGGATGGGATGGGATGGGATGGGATGGGATGGATGGAGTAATCAATAATCAACCAATATTGTGCTATCTTTGCTAATTCAAATTCACGTTATTTATTTAAATGTAAGATGTAGAAATTAATTAAGGTACATTTGAGAATGAAAGCAATGCAATTCAATATAATGTGAGATTGTAATGGATTTATTACACAACTGGTCCCTTAAAAAAAATGATCAATTATCCAGTAATCACCTCCAGTGTCTCTGTAATAATCTATTTTTTCCCTTAGTCTCCCTCCGTCTTATGAAGCAAAATGGGGTCATGTTCATAACAACATAAAGGGCAAAGGGAGGAGCAGTGAAGGGGGACAGAGGGTGGAGGATACAGGAGGGGAGGGAAATTAACCCACTGCTCTAACTTGATCTAAGCCTGCAAACAAAGCACCTCTTTGAGGCTGACGCATCAATGCCCTTCACAATGCTCCCAGTCACACACACACAAGCAAATACATGCATGCACACAGATACATTACATACCAATGCACATTCCCTCACACACACACACACACAAACACAAACAGGCGTAAAAAAAAAAGAAAAGAAAAAGAGAGCAAACTGCTGTCCCCATAGGATTTTGGCTTTTGAGGAGTGTTTCAGTTAACATGGAATTCCTCACAACAGCCACCTTACTTAACGCCCATGGGATGATTCCAAGGTGACACTCCCTGCAAAGACTGGCAAAGCTCCAGCAGCATTTTGCTGCGTCCCCTGTTTTCCTGATTTGACTTGAACGGCTGCTGCTTGCATAAACAGGTCAGGGGGAAAGTAGGTCAGTGTGCGTGCGCGGGAAGGAGAGGAGAGGTAAAGGAGAACGAAAGAGAGGCTGAGAGAGGGGGAGAGAGGGAGAAAGAGAGAGAAAGAGAGAGGGAGTGTGCTGATGGATGGATCGATGAAGGTTATGGCTCCATCCGTGTCACTCTTGTTTGTCTCTGGCAGCAGAGATAGTCTTGGCAAACAGAGCAGAAACAGGGCTCTCATGTTACCTGGTCCCCCTTCAGAGCCTGGGGAAGAGGGTTAGTGGAGCAAGAAGAGGTGGGGGGGGGGCGGCGGCAGTAGGGAGAAGGGGGGACCCCTGGACTGCAGAGATCTGCTTTGTTTCCAAAATGACACGCTAGAAGCGTCTCACACATTTCTGGGGCAGGTTCCAGGAAGCCTGTGAAGCCAGGTCAGACTCAGGTAACACAGCTGAAGAATTCCCCAGCCCGCACACTGTAAAGTAAAGTCCAGCTGTAACCGCAAAACTCCTTCTGCTCCGGATGTCCGATGTCGTTACATACTGCAGCAGGTATATAGTGACCTGTGCCGATCGAATAAGGAGCAAACTCAAACTCAGGCAGCAGACCTGTTCACAATACTGTCCAGCGTCTGAGCAAACACACCTGTGCATACAAAACGTGGGCCGCATGTGCACATGCAAACATACGGAGTACATATGTGCAGCATATGAATTGATGATGCACACAGTTTCACCACGCCGCTGTTGACATAACCTACTTGTCTATCGTTCACAGGTTCAATTCCCAACAGTTCAGAATCCGACACTGGAAGTTCTTATTACGGGGTCGGCTAAACTTAGTGTTGTCAGTGAATAAATTAACAAAACGTAACATTATGGTTCTTGGAAAGGTGTTACTGTGTTTGAAACCAGCCACAAAAAAAATTATCAAAAATATCCCCTGCTTACATAACCTCCTTATAGCTTGAGGCTCAGCACACACCTCATCCGTGTTATGAAGAGGTTACGGGGAGAGTCAGTCTGATCAGAGGCGGCGGCAGTAAAGAGGCGAAGAAGTGAAGAGAGAGCGGTGAGAAACAAGGTGAGAGGTGTGTAAATACAGTATAATAAAGAGAGGAAAGAGAGAAAGTGCAGTTTAGGTTTGAGATAAACAGTGATGGTAAAAGCATTTTTTCCTTTTACCAAAGACTAACAGTGGAAATGAGGTGGATGACATATGAAATTCTCTGAACAGTTGTTCAGCCACAGTCAAAACTGGTCTGAAGCGGCTGGCGGACTGAATAGAGCTCGGACAGGGAGTGGCCTGGCCCCGATTTAGCTTTGGTCCCATTTCGCCCCCCCCCCTCCTCCACTCCACTCCTGTTTACTGCCTTCATCAAACTCTCTGGGTCATGCATGCACACACACACAAAAGACCTTGTTGGTCTGCTGCCGTCTCAGCTGTATCATCTCTGAAGTGTGACGTACAAACAGACGTGCGCAGTACAGGTCATGTGAAAATACCACAGTTCTTTTTTTGTACATTTTACTGCTGCTTAACAAGTTGACCGATTATGTTCAATGGGTCGGAAAACACAAGCAAAAGGTTTCCAAAGATGAGTGTGTGTAAGACCATGTGATAAGAAATGGGTGCAGCCAGAGAAAAGAAAATAGCTAAACATGACTCGTCTAACAAGTAATTTAGATGTCTGGTGGGAAAAAAAAAAAAAATAAAAATCCTACAACTACTCCAATTAAACTTCTTCGCCGCCTACACCTGCAGTGCAGCAGGATCCCACCACTTACCCCACCAACCCCCCGCCCACCCCCACCTATCACAAAGCAGAATGCAAATGCAGCAGTGAACCTGCAGCTGACTGGCACACAGCAGCCGAGCGGGGCGAGGGGTTTTATCTGCAATGCCAGGTTCTGCCAGCTCAAATTAGCGTGTCACAGAAAACAGTCGATAGGAAGAGATGAGGAGACAGAGAGAGAGAGAGACAGGTGTGTGACCATGATCCTGCAGCAACCAGAGTGAAACAGTCCGAGGTGGAGTCAGCGAGGAGACAGAGAATGAATAATGATGGAGGCCCAGAGGGGGAGTGAGAAAACATTGCAGGGAGTAAAAACAAAGAGTCGGCTGTGTCATTCGCCTCATGGGCTTCCTTCCTGTAGGACCACAAGGCCATCGACTAACTGCAGCCAGAGAAACAAACAAAAAAAAAAAAACAACAAAACAGAAAAATCAGCTCAGCATACCACCCTGCTGTAGCCCCGCCCAAACACACACACACACACACACACACACACACACACACACAGACAGACAGCAGCTCCACCTGCACCTCCCTGCCCAAACAGTGGGTTAACTCACAGAAGTGATGTAAGAGGTGGGGGTGACACAAATACCACAAATTCTGTTGTTTGTGCATTCATCGCAGCTTTGCAGCAGCACCCCCCCCCCCCAGCTCTACCCGAGCCCCCACCCACACACACACACACACACACACACAAGCACTGCAACATCAGGTGCCAACGCCCGACAAGTCACTTTCTCAGGTGGAAATGCCTGGACTCGTACAGCAGGGAGGGATGGGGTGATACAGACAAAAGCTCCTGGTTTATCAGTTGTTTTGAAAAGGGGTCTGTTGTGCAATGTTAGGCTTAAAAAAAAAAAAAAAAGTTTAAAAAAATAGTTATAATCCAATTACATGACTGAAGCAGCTATCGCAAACTCACACATGTTTTTCATACTCTGACTTACGGTCTTGGCCTTTAAAATGACAAAGTCAGATCATGAAAAACATGTTGGTTGCCAGTGATGACACAACAGTATTTCACCAAGATTACACAACTGCAATAACACTGAGCTGCCTAATGTCAACTAGTCTGGCATGTAGCGATGATAAAGAGAAAGATCAAGTTGTTTCCCATCAACGGTTTGATCTTTGACCACTGTATCGTAGTGACTTGGATAATTGATTAATC